CTGAGGTTATTGAGTAAATATTTTCGACTGTTCAATGAAATCTTGCACAGCGTCGCACACTTTCCAGTTGCTGTGCTCAAAGTTATGTGCTCCTAGAGATAGTAAATTTGATGTTGCCAAAGCTAATTAAGGATTCGTATCGAAGGCCCATATGCCATGTTTATTCTATTTCACGTCTTCCTTCTCTTCTTTCATATATATATATATATATATATATATATATATATATATATATATATATATATATATATATATATATATATATATATATATATATATATATATATATATATATATATATATATATATATATATATATATAATTAGTGTGTATAATAAAGCACACAATAGTAATAATAATTCCTGGTGTTTTACGTTCACAACCACGATCTAACTATGAGGGACACTGTAGTCGAGGGCTCCGGAAATTTCTACTGCCTGAGGTTCGTCAGCATGCACCCGATTCTAAGCACCCGGGCTTCGAGCATTTCGTCTCCGTTGAAATGCGAGCACCACGACAGGGAATGGAACCCGTGATCGAGTCAGCAGCCCAGCAACGTAACCACTGCGCCACCGTACCGGCTTAAAAACATAAAAAAGGGAAAAAAGAGTGGAACCGAAATAAATATTTGTGTCTATAGGCACGCGCAAGCGTGCTCTTGCACGATACTCTTTTGCTGTACACATTTTTATGCACGAACTGTCACACGTGGTCCTTAATTTGAACAAGGCATTATAATTTTGATGGTTTCGTAAAACATTAGTTACGCTTTTCTTCTTTTTTTTTTTCACCTTAGATGCGGCACTAATTTCAACTTTTTTTTTTTAGCTATACGCCATGCAGAGAAGCTACTGCAATGATGGCCGGCATGGTAAGTTTGCAGCTGTACAAACCAGTGCTCAAGCTTAAGCGCTCAAGTCATTTCACTTCAGTATATTAAATTGCGCTTTGAATTACCTCGAGCACTCGCATGCTGCAGCTCCCTTCATCAGCCCCTATTGCAAATTTGGTAATGCATGATGATGATCTTTGCGAACACTCGCCCCCTCCAAATTGCAACAGCAGTTAGGGTTTCCACCCTTCCCGCATTGACAGCTCTGTCCTGTGCCTCGCAGACGCTATACAGAAATGTTGAAAATTTCGCATTTCGGATACAAGCTGCATCTGGCCACGCTGCTCGATGATGTTAGTTGCAAGCACAAAGTCAACTAGCCGCATGGTCATCTGTAAAAGGAGAAGAATGGGCTTAGCCGTAGCAATGAGCAACACAGCTCGATGAGCACTCTCAGCTACCGCATATCTCTGTGAAACGGCCTTCAGGATTGGCAGCCAACTTTACACGTTACAAACTACTAGTCAAATTGTGCCGGTCATCATGCATTACATTAAGAAAGTGAAACAAGCGGTGGTGAGTACTTCCTACGCTTCAATCGGTGTAGAAACTACGCGACTGCTTTGTCAATTACCATATTGCGGTATTGCCGAACTGTTATCCAAATTACCTTGCTTTGTGTCGAAGCATACTATAGTGCATATAGTTTTGTCTACACGGGCTATTAAATGAACTTGCTTGAACTTGTACCAGTTTCTGTATACTTCCACACTTCACAGATGACAAAAAATTGCAACAGAGCTTTGCAGCAAGAGTTTAAAATAAGTTATCGCCAATTTCTAATCGCGCTACGTCAGTGCTGCAGGGCAAGGCCTTGACTGCAGTGTTTTATGAGCGCGGTGTTGACAGTGGTCGAACTAATACCGCAGGACATAAGCCACCAGAGGAGTCAGCGCTCCTATGATGACGATCTCCAGCCCCGTGGTCGTGCTATTGTTAAAGCAGTCACACCACCCTTCGGTAAGTCGCTACCATCTCCCTGCATGTATCTCTGCTGTCGCGGCAGCATGACTTCTCTTGTATGTACTGTGTCATGTGGAAAGGAAAAGAAAGAGGAACTTAATCAACCGTGACTGCACTCTGAACCACATTTGCTTGTGAAGCAGATTCAACAAACGGTGTGGAATAACGATCTGGAATTTTGACGAAGTTTAATTGACTATGTATATGTTCAACGCATAAACACAGCTCCTCATATATGCCCTCCTTCAGGCAGAAGTACATGGCAAATGCGAATTTCTGCTGTGTTAATTCGTGACCCCAGGTCGCAAGAAGTATACTACTGGCTGAAACAGTTAACTATAGAAGCAGTGTTGTCGGTCTAAGTGACAAGAGTATATGCACTTCAGCCAGTTGGTGATGGTATGCTTACTTGTGGAAAATAAAGCACGACAGACGTACGTGACGAAACGCTTCACCCAGTCTGTCTCACCAGTTTGCGCTGTCTACTGTGATTTATTTGTAGCATGTCCAATCGAGAACTGAAAAATTTTGGCAAACATCATGTCTTGGGCTCTTTTGTCACCGGTGTAATGTGTACACATTCCGTAAAGAAAGATGATAGTTTCGGGTGCAAAAAAGAAGTTAGTTGTGGCCGTCGAAGTGAGTTTCCCGATTTACCAACTTTACACCTCAGCCATGGATCTCTCGGGGTCCCCTTGTGGACTGGCGAAGTTATGAAGAACCTCTTGCATTGAGAGAAAAGGGGATGGGTGTCTTGCAGTGACACAACATGCACAGTGAAATAGGTGCCTTTTACAGCGAAATGCCTGGCGTTCTTATTTTTGTTTTGTTTTTTCTACCCTCTGGCAAATTTTATAATATAAAACACACACACGTTTTTTTAAGGATACATTTCGTAAAGCTTCCAAATGGCATCGCGGACCCGCATGTGAGAACTAATGTTTTACGCATTTATATTCAAAAAAAGAAAAAAAAAGGTGCACATGTGTCAACATCCCTGTTACGTATGGCGGTCATTTATGGGAAGGCACCTGATAAACAAGTGACGAAAAGGGTAAACTGCTTTGCAAGTCATGCTTTTTCCGTCACCTATTTGCGTTTATTGATTTGCGCCATCGTTGCCGTGCGGAAATGGTTGGAAGTAGAAGGGCACGTGATCTCGCCCGCGAACATTGGCAGCGAAAAATCTCTGACTGACGGCTTTCGGCTTTCAAGCGAGCGAACCTTGCCACCAAGGACATGTGCTGGAAAACTTTTCAATTTACCTTAGCTGCTTAGCTTATTATACGAAGGTGGAGGGCACCAGACGTGCCGTGTCGATAGGCAGTGCTGTCGAAAGAATCGAAGTGGCGCCATTATGGGCGCTCATGTGAGCATTTGTAACAGCGCCGCTTTGATTTGCAAATTCACAATCGCCACATTCCGTCTTTTTGCTTGTGGTCGACAAGACGGTCGAAAATCCTCTTGCCCCATAGATGTGGAAACAAAGCAAAGTCAGTACAGAGGCGTAGGTAGAAATTTGTTTCCAGAGGGATTGGGGTCACAGGCCCGGTGTGCCATCCCCTGGCTACACCACTGAACCAGGAGGAGTCCTTTTCCCCATGACAGGTCGTCTAGCCTCGCTGAAAGGTTCACCATCAATATGAGTCGACGCCATATAGAAATCACAATTATGCGAATTAAAAATGCCAACTTCGCGAGAATGATTCCGTCGCTTTGGCGCCGGACTTAATCAAGAGTCGAACACAGGGAAGTGGGTTTTATACATTAAAAACGTCTTCTGCTCAAGAAGGCATAAGAAACTTCGATGGTCTGCTACATTACAACTTCCTCATTTTTGTTTTCTCCTTCCTTTTCTAGGATTTTCGCCGGCAAATGCTGGTCACCGAAGGTAAGAACAATTAAGTGAAACACCTAATCACTATATACTGACTAACTTGCAAAAAAAAGTATGTAGTCATTAATTGCCATCATGGGTTCATTATTAGAGCAGAAGATGAAGGTGAGAGTTGCATTTTTCTAATTCGCGCCGAGACTGTTCCTGTACGTCAGTCTAACGTTCATGTACAGACGTCTCTGTCTATTTTCGTAGTTGGTCACATTACTTCAATAAAATTTCCATAAACACGCAATGTCAAGTCACTCATTCCCTTACAACGCAAAGTTATTAAATTGGTTCTTAACTTGGGATACTATGGGTCTTAACAGACGTGATCAAAATACACGACGTTACGGCATATTGGTGCAAGAATATAGTTGGTCACATTAGTTCAATAAAATTTCCATAAACATGCAATGTCAAATCGCTCATTCCCTTACAACGCAAAGTTATTAAATTGGGTCTTAACTTGGGATATGGGTCTTAACAGATGTGATCAAAATACACGACATTACGGCATATTGGTGCGGGAATCTCACGGTGGCGTCGACACCTGTTTTTTTCTTTTCTGCCTATTTTCCATGCTCATTATTGCCTTAAAAAGAGAACAGTGTTGTTGATATCGTGTTGGTGGAATAAAAACGCTCTTCAGGGACAAGATATAAAGCCAGCAAGGAGCCTTTTACATTCTAAAAGTTTTGCCAAAACACGTTGGTGGGCTAGTTGGTAACCACTTTCACGGAAACCCTTTCTCCATTGGTCTTGACGCATGAAATGCCCGAGGGCAATTTCATTAGGTTTTTGGACTTAGGTATCTACTTTTCATCTGAGAAAGTGTGTTGGAGTTATGAGCCAAGGGGCAATAAGCCCGTCCTGCCGTTTTCCTCCGCCCATTCAAAGCTCGTGAAACGCGCCGTTGTACAATCCTGTTTTAATAACTCTCTTAGGAAGTCCTGTAATCACAAAGTTGAAAGCAGTTTTCTGAACCAAGCCAAGCGCTTAGCAGAGTCTGGTTACCCAATTTGTGTGCTGAGCTCTGTCGCAGAGGGTTTGAGCAGGAAGCTAAAACACCCACCTAAAGGCAGTAATGGTCGTACAGCAAAAAAAGTGGCCGTCGTTCCGTACTTGCATGGTGTATCGCATAATCTCAGAAGGATCGCGGGAAAGGCAGGAGTGGATGTGATCTTTTCAGCTCCCGAACGTCTACATAGGTTGTGTCGACGCGTTAATTCACAGTGTAACAGTGCAAACACCTGCCTTATTAATCATCGAACAATTTTTGTGAACTGCATTCGCAATGTTGTTTATGCTATTCTGCTTTCTTGTGGAAGAACCTATATTGGTCAAACTGGCCGATGTATCAATCAGAGATTGAAAGAACATCATTATAATGTCACGAAAGCAATCTCGGGCCATTTGGGCATCCATTGCCGAGATTGTGGATGTATACCCCTCTTCGAAAAAACTAAAATTCTATCTAAGGCTCCTGGCAAAATGACAAGGGAGATTATGGAGGCATATGAAATCGCGAAATTATCTGACATGTGCGTTAGCCAACCATCAGTATCGCTTTCTCAAAAAGAACTTCATTACCTTGATTCGACACAGTGACTTGTACTTTTACTATGTAGTGCAATTTACACGTGCTTGGTTCTACGATGTGATTCCGCGATATGTTCTTTATGTTTATGTTATTTCCGCTCGCTCGGTATATATTTATCGGTTCGTGCGAAAATAAAAGATCAGTTGAAAGTAGCGCTCTGTATGTGTCTGTCTCTTCTACGTCCTTGTCTGTTTTGCGCTTACTCACTCTTAATAAAAGTTTTGACTTTGAGAAAATTTAATGCCAAACAGGCACTTAGGCGTTTGCGAGATGCACCTTTCTTCACGTCATTCCGTTCCTGACAAACGCTAGAGCAAGAAATTGAAAGAAAGAGAGAGAGTGATAATTTAAGGCAGATAGGTCTGCCTGAGATAGTGTGCTCTAGCTTGCTACTCCGCACAGGGTATAAGGGAAGGGAAAGACAAAGAAGGGATGAGGGGTGATTATGGGGACGGGAAGAGGTAGCGCGTATGTACAGTAAGAAAAGATACCGCGCACCAGCAGCATTTAGGGAAAGACCGCGACCACAGAGTTTCACAAAGTTAACGCCCTGCGCTTATGCGTCACTTCAACTTCCCAAGGGATACCACTTAGAGTTCTCTTATAATACAAATCAGCTACTTCCTTTGTAGAGCTCACTAGCTCGATGTCCATGAGACTTCGAGAACGCGGTGGTATTGTTAATCTGCGTAACAAAGTAGGCGAGTAACCTGAGCGCTGAGTTTCGACATCGCCCTTAACATTCGATCATGACTATCTCGAATTACGTGTAACGTTCGTAATCATAAAAAATGAGGTATCTATAAATTTGTCCGCACTACAGCTTTCGATATAAACAAATGCTTTCAAGTCAATAATTAACTTTATTCAGAAGTTTTTAGAGATTAGCCACGTTGCTATATTAGCTGCAGGGGTATTTCCTCTCGCACATAGAGTTCATGTGCGAAAATGACAAGAGCCTTACTGTCACAAGTTTTTTATTCAAAAGTATGTATTGTCATAAAAAATTAATTAAAGTAACCCTGCTTACAATGAGACAATGAAACGGTACGAAGTTGCTCTGAATCACGAACCAAGCAGAACTCAGTCTGGGTTGCTGGGCCTTTACACAAAAATGTAAGAAGGCGCTCTCACTTATGTCACATGGTTAACGTATTGCTAACCACGTGACAGTACATATATACATACCCCGTCCCTCTAAAACACACATGCATACAATCTGTTCATGTAGGTGAGGACTTAGAAGGGATTCTTAGAATAAAGAGACAACAGATTGTAAGTGGTCATCTAATGGTGGGTGTACCATCTGTGGCACGTCAACCATAAATTGAGCGGTGCACATGAAATTTTGTTGCGGTTTGCATGCGACTGTTGCGTTTTCTTTTGCTCTGCTATCTTACTCATTTCTTTCTTGCATGCTTTATTATTTTTTTTCTTTTTCGACTAGCAGATGGCCAGAACTAGGTGATCGTTTAAATTGAGCAATAGATGTATGCATTGGAGCAGCAATTTTACCTGCACTACCTCACTGCCCTAGTACAATGTCAACTCAAGCCCTTCTGTTACCCACAGGCCAATTTACGACTCAGACTCATCATTGAGCAGCAGCTGCTTCCAGACACCGAGCACAGATTCCTTGTCCCGGTGAGTGTATACACGCAAAGCATGGATGATGGTACCCACTGTGTTGTTTGTCCGCATTACAGGTACAACACCAGTATTCCAGCAACCGGGCCACTAGAAGCCATCGAGAGTATGTATACTTATGCCAGATGTTCGCAGTACAATGTTCTTCTGAAGATATGCCATTTATTTACAGATACGAAGAAATATTTCAATGAATCGATTAGGGTGAGTAGTATTGGTCGCATCCCTCATTAATTTTAAGGGACTAAAACCAGTGCTTGCGCGAATATCAGCGCCACTCGACCTTGTTTGTTGCGAGATGCTTTCTTGTTTAGTGCTAGGGGCATCTGTAGTTTTCAGCGTTTTTCCTTTCTTTTTAACAGAGGGATAGTTATCTCCATGCGATCGTCGGCTATGGGTGTTTCCTCCTGCATTACAGTATTAGTTATATTAGGGCTTCTGGGTTTGCCGCATTCACGTTCCATAGTGAGGAGTTCTATTTGAGCTTGCATCTGTTCTATCATTTCTTTCATTTGTCTGTTTTCATCTTTAAGCTGTTCTAGCTCTTGACTGTTGTTGTTATTGCTACCGTTCTTATTTTTAATCTCCTGAGGTCCCTTCAGTCGCAAGCCACATACTCTATCTGCCCAGCTCACCTTGTTTGTTGATCCCTTAGACGCCGATCCCGACCTGGAACTGGGGTGAGAGCTTGCAGGGCTATGGTGCCTTGAACCGGAGCGGGATCTTGTTTGTTGTCATTTTCCGGTTCTCGATGTCGAGCGCTCTCGTGGACGTCCTCTTGGTGAAGATGAGCTTTGCCTTTGATGTTCTCATAGTCTGGCCCATCGTCACTGTTTTACAATGTAAGGTTTCTTGAACCTGGCCGTGCAGCTTTTATCGGCTGTAGCGTGGTCTTTTCCGCAGATTTGACAGCTAGGGTCGCATCTGTGGTCGTCGTTGGGGTTGTGAATGCTGCAACCACCACAAAGTTCTTAGGGGTTGGGGCACACGTCACTTCTATGTCACAGTCTGTTGCACTGCTTGCAGTAGTCAATTTGCTTGCGGTATAGCGTGCACGGTATTATTACTCCATCATAGCACACACTGGAAGGTACCTTGTTTCCACCGAAGAGCACAATGACCGTTGTAGTATTCCCCAGTCGTTTAGCCGTGATGATGTTGTGGTTTCTTGTAGTGACAAGGGCCGCCCTAATGCTACCAGGAGTTTCTTCTAGTGGGATTCCTTTAATGATACCCTTGGCTGTATCTTCTGGTAATGTTTCATACGCTGCCACCTCATATTCTTTGCCTCGTATAAGTATTTTCTTGATTTTTCTGTACTGGTCAGCTCGGTCGGGGTTTGGGGTGCTTACTATCATGATGTTCTGTGTTTTGTTGGGGCATATCACGCCGAAGTGCCGGACTTCTGGTGGTGTAGCCGTGGCTTCATGTATGCCTCTGGTTATATCGGTTGGGCCGAGTGCGGATACGCGTAGGCCTCCTCTTGGTCGGATGACAATTTTGTAGTCACCCGCCGGCAGCTTGGGCATTCTGCTCACTTTTTCGATGCGGTTCATCCGTCTTTTCTGCGTTTTGGCTTGCGTGTTACCAAAGCCGGGTTCCACCTTGTTGTTAGCAACATGGCAGCCGTCAGCATGCCTGACTGATCCATGTCCGGGCTTCTGACGACGTTCGTAGTGGACGGTGTGCCAGCCTTCTTCACTCCCGGTATCGGCTGGATTCATCATTATCATGTTGTACATCCATTGTCCTTAAATCGGCGTCAAAGTCTTGCGCGTCGCCTGCCGTCCCGGTGAATTCCATTGGGTTTACAGCGTCGGCTACCTAAGGAATCCGGCCTGTTTCGCGAGGCTTAACAGCGTCTCGTGTGGTGTGCACCGAGAAAAGGCCGTAAAAAGATGAAAAACAGTTGGTCCGCCTTGTCTTTAGTATCCTGAGAATCTGGATGACGATGCGAATCCTCTGATGACACTCTGAGAAATGCACGTGGTGATTTTCACTGTGAAGTTGTTCATGAAAGCAGGAGCCGACGTGAAGCGGGCCTGCACTTATCGGCGCTCGCAACGTCTCCCCCTGATTTCCCACAAAAAAAGGGGGGGGGGGTGCACTTGTAAGTTGTGACAGTCTACAACTTTGTTATGTAAACAATAGCCGTCAAGTTATCAATTGAAAACTTAGGTAACCAGTCTTTTTTTTTAGTTCGTCACTTAAGCCGCAGCAAAGTATTTCCTTTCACCGCATGAAAAGGACAGGAGCCTCACTGTGACAAAATTTTTATTAAAAATCTGCGTTATCCTAAAAACAGATTATACAATAGCATTGCAACCGCGGTTGCAAGCGCAGTAAGATGAATTATTTGTACTCTCAAAGCCTCCAGCGGTCTAGGATCGGTGTGACGTACAAAAAGCGAAAACATCTGCGACTTGTTGACTCTTGATCCATTAAACCTGGTTATACCAAAACAATTCCGGCAAAGTGGCCTTTGGGGAGATCTCCGCATTAAGGCTCGTGGTAGCTATTAGCGCTCTCGCTCTGCAGGGCGAACAAACACAGCCGAATTAAGTAGAACTACAGCGCATAAACTGAAACTATTCTGAATCGAGCATTTTTTACACTGATGTGTTCGGGGGTCTGCCCTGAGGACCAGAGCCAGCCAGAGTCTCGGGGAGATGTCGAGGAGAGGAGCCGGGAGCTGCTAACAGTAACTTTTATTCACATTATTTACAGGTAGCATGTTGCTACATGATGGGGTTAGCATCATGGAAGCCCTCAAGCTTCTGTGAGCTTTTTGAAGCTTGTGAGAGCTTGTCACGAGCGCTTCGGGGCTCGCATTTATGACCTGGCCTTCCCAGGATTCCCTGCAGAAAAAAAACAATGGAGGTCAGGACAGTCCAATAAATTTTGCCATCTTCATCTCCGCCCCCAAAAGGGGAAGGTGAAACGCCACCTCCTTCCCAGCCCACGAAATGGGGAAGAGGCACGCCCAGTTCAGCCCATGGCGAGGAAAAAAACACTGCACACTGCGCACAACACAGCACAGCACGAAGACATTGAGTCCCACGTGGAAATCAACTCTGTAGACCGTTGCAGTGATGACTATGCGGCGCCAGGCAGACCACGACTTGTGGAAACAGCAGTATTAGGCACCACGGAGAACGTGGGAAATGCATGCGCAGACGGTTCTCAGTCGCTTGACTTATTGTCTTTGGCACTCCAACGAACAAAGACGTACAGAGATAACCACCCTTTTTAAGCTGTTTTGACTGTAAACAGCCTTTCATAGGTCGCCAGTCGGTAGGGTAAGTTCAAACGGTTCTATGAGGAGACACGGCTGCGCCGCGAAATTCCAAGTACGGCTTGCGTGCCGTTGTCGCTATTGGTTCACCTCTCAAAGCACTGTCCTGCAAACGTCTACGTCCAAGCGGCGCCATATCAGGGAGGCCGATCATAACAACACCGCTAGAAAATATGTGGCACATGTATTTGCGAAGAATTCGCTTGCTGTGCAGTGTGTGGGAAGAAAGGGAAGTAGAAGTGTCGAGTTAGACAGGTGTGGCTATGTTCGGGACTCAAGAAAACAATGGACACTAGAGAGCCGCCCTAACTTGCTCACCACGCACTCGCCGCAGCGTCACAGTCGCTACTCTTGCTCAGCAAAACTTTTAAAATTTTGGTGTCGCTCCTATCACTGCCCAGCTGATAGAGGTTTAATCGATAAGTCAATTAGTTGAGATGGGTCCCGATTGATCATTTCGCAGGACACTTTTTATCGTTGCTACTGTTGTCTTCGCCTATGTAGAAGACAGAAGACGGCGTAATAAGAAACACGCATTCCACTCAGGCGAACAGCATGAGTCTCTCTCGTCAACATCGTTCTCTTCATCCACAATCCATATCAGAAACTGCGCTTCTAATAGAGACGCCAGCGATGCGCCAACACTCGGCCTTTCTAAAAATCTTAACGTCTTAGTTAGGGTGTCCTCGACAAAATTATTTAAACTGCTTTTGCATACAAATGCTAGGCCGTCCTTCTATTCAACTAAATGACACACAATACAAACAAGAAACAACAAAAAGCTTAGTCAAATGACCCAAACACTGGCACCTAAAAATTCAACAAGCAGAAATTTGCCAATGTTAAATTTTAAGCTCTGATTAACACAAGTCATATCGTCCGACCAATCTTTGCGGAAAGCCACAGTAGGATGTGGAAAAAAAAAGAACTTCACACTTTGTAAGGAGCACTAAAAAATGGCAGCATATCCACGGGGTGGATGATTGAGAGTGGGGCGAAGCATCCGTCCGTGTATTCGTTTTTGCTTCCGTCCGTCCGTGCGTCCATTCATGCGTCCACCCATGCGTCCATCCGCCCGTCCGTGCGTGCGTCTGTACGTGCGTCCGCACGTCCATCCATGTGTCCGTCCATGCGCTCGTCCATGCATCCACCCTGCGTCCATCCGTTCGTGCAGCCATCCGTGCGTCCGTCCATGCATCTGTCTGTGTGTCCATTCGTCCATCTAGTCAACACTCCAAGTACAACAATCTCGCATATTTTCATTATATATTCCGCATATAGAAGCACCGCCATCCAGCAGACATTCCAAGGACTAAACGAGAGGTGGAACACGCACACTTTCTTACGGCTGGCGCTTCGTGTCTACTTCTCACCTTTAACCACCTCGAGTTCATGGTATATACTAGTTCACTGTATTCATGGCACTGCGGCCCAACGCTCGCTAAACCTTTCTGAAACAAAGGAGGTTACGTCCAGCAAGTATAACGTAGCAACCTTTTCTTGTCAGATACTGCTCAATGTACGTGCCAATGGCTGCTAATGGGGAATGGGAGACAGAAGAATTTGGCTTTTAATTAACGCGAACGCTGCGATTTTTTTATTGTTCAACAACGCACAGGAGAAATCTCCCACCGGCACACCCCCTTGGAGGTCAAAGCGCAAGACATGTTAAGTACTACGAGGGACAAACGGGTGCCGCTTTGAGGAGCTTCGCCCCTAACAGATTAAAACTGTCCCGTAAGAGGCTCAGTAGTGAGGGTGTATTTAGGAAGTTATAGTAGAAACTCCCTAATCTAAGCGAGCGTTAACATAATGGACTTTGGAAACTTATACAAAAGATAGGGCAACATTTAACAGATAGGTGCGATAATTAATTTAAATTTGTTAAAAATGCTTTAGGCACATGCGG